AGGTGATGTAAACTTTTATCAGTAAACTCCTTGCATTTCCATATAGTTGTTGGTGCTTCCTGGCTGTTTTCTAAACAAAATCTTATTCGGTTGACATGATCCTTTGTTTAATTATGCTTCATATCTTCAATTTTTTTATGGACAGAAGTTGGAGCACATATATGTCAAGGCTGCAATGGAAATAATTTGCCTCATTCTCAGGCAGGTGTTGTAAACTTATGCCCCCTTCATCAATAAACTCCTTGTATTGCTCTGTAGCTGCTAGTGATTCCTGGCTTTGTTAAATGAAATCTTAGTTTATAGTATGGTGTTGTAAGAAAGTCGGAAGCGCATACGCTGCAAGGAAGATAACAAACTTTGTCCCCTTGGTTAATAAACTTTTTGCATTTCCCTATAGTTGATGGTTCCTAGTGCTGTCCGGCTTTGTTAAACAAAATCTTAATTGTTTGTGTGGTGCTTTGACATTGAATAAGCAATAAAACTTACAGGAACACGATGTTTTCGATAACGAAGGAAATGTTCACAATATATTCAAGTGGCTAAACGATCTCTGGTTTGGATGAAACTTTTACAGAACTTGTATTTATACACTTTCCAAATCTAGTAGTCAAGTGAAATGAAACATTACATTTTTTTTCTTTTTTTTTTGGGGTCATCCACAACTTTATACCTGAATGTTGAAACAATCACATCAAATATTTCTTACTTCTTGTCAGCTTGTGAAGCCAAAATCATCAACTTAACAGTTGCTCAAAAAACAATCTTAACAATTTCAAGAGGACTTATAAAGTTTGCATTCACCATTCCAATTTCTAAACTTATAACATCCTAAGAGCGACTCCACCAAGGAGCCCAAGCCCAGGGCTGGGGGGAGGCCAAGCGAAAAACCCAGTTTCAGCAGGCCACTTTTTCCCAGGTTGGATGTGGGACCCACGAAGACGGGCTGGCCCGAAGGCAAGTCTCGCTTGACCTGCAGCCTGAGGGGGAGGATGACGTCAGTGTGCTGTTCAAATTTTTTTTGCCGCCAACGGTAAAAATCGCGGACATTTTATTCTACTTCTACTATTATTCACTTTCAACACCAATCCTCATGCATTTTATTCTACTTCTACTATTATTCACTCTTTACTCAACATTTTATTCTCTTTCAAATTGTATTTTTATTTCTTATCTTTATGGCTTCTTCTATCAAAATCGGAGGGGCGTGGAGCACCATGGAAGATGTTTTCTTGTGTGAGTGTTGGGTCCAAATTAGTCATTGTCCCGTGTCAGGCAATGAGATGAAATTTTGTCATATGTGGAAAAAAATTCATGGCGAATTTTGTGAAAGAGTTCCAGGGTCGACTCGTACGGAAATGGCATTGTCTAGTAGGTGGAAAATTCTCAATAAAGAGTTGGAAAAATGGAGAGATACCTTGGCAAAAGTGAGGGACAACCATAGAAGCGGGGAAAATCTTAGTAGTGAGGTAAATATTTTGTAATTTTCGTTTTATTAAGTGTAATGTCCTAATATATATATATATATATATATATTTTAATGTTTCTTGCATGTTCAATATTTTGTTAATATTTCTTGCATTTCCAATATATTTGTAAGGTTAATTGCATTTCCAATTTTTTTTTTATGTTACTAGATTATGCAAGCACGGATGTGGTTTGGTGCAACTTGGCAAGGCAAAAAATCTTTCAACCATCAAGAATGTTGGGAGGTGGTGAAAAATTGCAAATGCTTCACAATTATTCCCACAGGTCCCCCCGTTATGTTAAATGAGACGCCACTCCATGATTCAACGACATCGGATTCACCTTTCTATTCCCCTATGAGTTAAGACTCACCCATTGAAAAAGAGCTAAGGCCCATTGGCCGAAAGGCTGTGAAGGCGAAGAAAGTGAGTAATTCTAGCACTAATACATCAAAAAATTTGGAGGAAATTGCAAGGCAAAGCGCCATAAGAATTGAAATGGACCTGAAACACCAAGAGAACGAGATGGCAATTCGAGCAGAATATGTAAAAGAAAGGGAGTATTTGCACAAAGAACACATTGACAAGAAGGATCGGGAAACCATGGCCATAGATACAAGCCATATGTCCCATGAAACAAAACAATTTTGGAAGCTAGAACGAAGGGATGTTATGAAAAGAAGACTTTTATGTGACGATGGACCTAGCAACACAGATTTGTTAAATGATCAAAACCATTAAATTAGTTGGCATACCTTTTATTTATTTGTATTTTTCATGTTTTGTATTAAAGTAGTTGTAATTCATGTATTTTATTTTATTAGTAGTAATTCTTAATGATTGAGGTAAAAAAAAATATTATCCAAATTAATTATTGAGGTAAAAAAATTTGTGAAAAAAATAAAAAATGAATAGTAATTGCCTTTTGCCATGGCAACCACTATTCAAGTGAATAGTGGCTGCCCTAGCCCCCTCGGCGTGGTTGCCATGGTAATGGGCAAATGAGTGGAGTTGCTCTAATAACATTCAATATTCCACCAAAATAGCAAACTAACATATTTTACAAATTGATGACGATGTGTGGAACTAGCCTCTCCGCGCATGCGGGAGGCATTTTTTATTTTATTTTTAAAAAATTTATTTTAGAATTAAAAAAGATAATTGATAGTTGTGTTCCATAAAAATATGATCAATTATCTTATTTTTCTTTTGATTTTAATTTTTTTAAATATGAAAAAGTGTGAATTTACCATATTATCCTTATTTAATTAAACTTAATATCAACTTTTTCATATTAAAAAAATTAGAATTAAAAGAAAATTCAGATAATGAATCTTATTTTTATGGAACACAACTACCCATTATCTTTTTTAATTCTAAAATAAATTAAATTTTTTTTTTTAAAAAAAAAGCCTTTCACAGGCGCGGAAGCGCATGCAGAGAGGCTAGTATATTGATAATCAATAAGAAAATGTCAAGTGCCAAAACAAAAAAATTAGCACATGTGATTTGGTTCGATTTATGCAGTTTCCATATAGACCAAATCAAATCAAACTACAAAACTCAGTTGATTAGTTCTATTTGACTGATCAATTTGGCTGATTTCGCCCCCGCCCCCCCAAATCAAAATACAAAACTCAGTCGATTTCCATTAATTTAAAAAAAAATACTAGGGTTAATCAAGGTGGTTGGTGTGAGTGGTTCGGCACTCTCATTCCTTAAGAGAGATCAGGGGTTCGATCCCCGCTCTCGTATGGAGTCACCACTTTGGCCAGCACTTTATCCCTTACGGGCCGACCCGGTGTGAGCGGGGATTAGTCTGGGTTGTGGTTAAGGCTTAAAGGTGTCACCCATAGTTGAGGCCCATCCAGGACAACCTCGTGGTTCATACCAAAAAAAAAAAAACTAGTGTTGTCAAGCTGTCAAAAAAAGAAGAAGAAAGGATTATAAAGCATCGGTGCCTTAATTGTGTCATTGATATATCAGATTTGCATATCTAAGATCATTATAGGTTGATTCACAACAATATGAATAGTGTATCCACCCAGGAAAAATAATCAACAGTAATTAATGGTTATTTTTCTTTCCTTTTTTCTAAAATTTTTAGTTTAGATAAGGTTGGGGTCCTATGTAACACTTGGCAGTAATTAGCACAAAGTAAGGGATTTATGCCTAGTTTGGGATTGTTGTCACTCTTAAAAATGTTGCTTATGCTGTGCTTTGAAAATAATTAGTTGTAAACCAAGGTGGTTGGTGTGAGTGGTTCGGCACTCTCATTCCTTAAGAGAGGTCAGGGGTTCGATCCCTGCTCTCGTACGGAGTCACCACTTTGGCCAACACTTTACCCCTTATGGGCCGACCCAGTGTGAGTGGGGATTAGTCTGGGTTGTGGTTAAGGCTTAAAGGTGTCACCCATAGTTGAGGCCCATCCAGGACAACCTCGTGGTTCATACCAAAAAAAAAAAAACTAGTGTTGTCAAGCTGTCAAAAAAAGAAGAAGAAAGGATTATAAAGCATCGGTGCCTTAATTGTGTCATTGATATATCAGATTTGCATATCTAAGATCATTATAGGTTGATTCACAACAATATGAATAGTGTATCCACCCAGGAAAAATAATCAACAGTAATTAATGGTTATTTTTCTTTCCTTTTTTCTAAAATTTTTAGTTTAGATAAGGTTGGGGTCCTATGTAACACTTGGCAGTAATTAGCACAAAGTAAGGGATTTATGCCTAGTTTGGGATTGTTGTCACTCTTAAAAATGTTGCTTATGCTGTGCTTTGAAAATAATTAGTTGTAAAGTAAAGTAAAGCAGCTCAATGTTTGGTAAACAATATATTTTAACATAAAATTGTTCGGTACAAAATAATGACTAAAAGCAGTGTCAAAACAATTTGATAAATTTTAATATAAAATTGTTGTAACTGTGAATAATGATTAAAATAGACATGATGTTGAAAGTGTTATGTACTAATCATGTGGTGGTAGTGGTGGTGATGGAGTGGAGGTGGTGGTGGTGATGAAGGTGGAGTTGGTGGTAGTGGAGGTAGTGTCATTTTTTAAAATGAATGATGGTATTTTGGGAATTAAAAAAAATTCATTAAAGGTTCATTTCTACTTATTTTGAAAGTAGCTTTGAAAAGCAATTCAGAGTCTGTTTTTAAAAGTTGCTGTCAAAAGGTCACTGCTTTTTAAATAATCCGGATATTTTATTTTTACCAAATACCTTAAACTGCTTAACTTTAAAATGAAGCAGATTTTTGGCCAAAAAAAGCAATCCCAAATGGATCCTTAATCAGCAAAACAAATCAAGAAATTCATGCATTTCTTTATAAATCCAACTAAGCCCACGTAATTTTCCTTTTCTGGAGATGACATCCATTAGAAATATAAAATACAATGAACCAATTTATGGCCAAGCATGCCAGCTTTGATGCATGCACTATTTTCCATTTTTTTAGATTTTTCTTTCTCCTTTTAAGTAAACCTAATTCTCAGGGCTTATAGCCTTATTTAAACCCCCACCACCTCTTGGGTTCTCAATCACCCAAAGCATCGGCAAAATCAGATCCAAAGCAGCAATATTTCAGACCACTCAACCATGGCATCTCAAACTTTGCTCTCTCTTCTTTTGGTCACTGTCTTCCTATCAGGCAAGAAAGCATTAGGTTTTGTTGTTTATGTTATTGTGTATGAAATTAGGATCCTCTATTAATATTTTTGTGTGTTTGGATTTAATTTGTGTTGGCATTAGTACAAGATAAAGAAAATTTTCCTATTTTTAAGCATTTATGGTTTTTGTTAGGAAAATGATTTAAGTTCATACTTGATACCAACAGTACGATTTTGATGATTAAGTTGAGGATTCGAACACATGTTTTGATATATGATACTATTTTAATAAGATTTATTTTGTACTGATTTAGAATTAATTTTTCTTTTTTCATGTTTACCATTGAATCACTGAAAACCTATTCATTTTCCATGACATGCAGGGGCTAATTCAGCCACATTCACATTCACAAACCGTTGCCCCTATACAGTTTGGCCAGGAGCCCTAACTGGGAGTGGTGCACAATTATCTTCAACCGGATTCGAGTTAGCATCCGGCGCCTCCTCGTCTTTGGATGTCCCTTCTCCATGGTCCGGCCGCTTCTGGGGTCGAACCCAGTGCTCCACAGATGCCTCAGGAAAGTTTATTTGTGGCACTGCAGACTGCGGCTCTGGTCAAGTTGCATGTAATGGTGCTGGTGCAATCCCACCAGCATCGTTGATAGAATTGACTCTGGCCCCGAGTGGAGGGCAAGATTTCTACGATGTTAGTCTCGTTGACGGCTTCAACGTGCCTCTCGAATTAGCCCCACTAGGAGGGTCTGGTGGATGCAGCATGCTCCACAGATGCCTCAGGAAAGTTTGTTTGTGGCACTGCAGACTGCGGCTCTGGTCAAGTCGGATGCAATGGTGCTGGTGCAATCCCACCAGCATCGTTGATAGAATTAACTCTGGCCCCGGGTGGAGGGCAAGATTTCTACGATGTTAGTCTCGTTGACGGCTTCAACGTGCCTCTCGAATTAGCCCCACTAGGAGGGTCTGGTGGATGTAGCACCACAAGCTGCCCAGCTAATGTCAATAGTGTTTGCCCTGCAGAATTGGCCGTAAAAGGGTCAGATGGGGGTGTGATTGCATGCAAAAGTGCATGTTTGGCTTTCAACCGGCCGGATTATTGTTGCACCGGCACATTCGGGAGCCCTAATACATGCCCTCCTACCGATTATTCAAAGATATTCAAGAGCCAGTGCCCTCAAGCTTATAGTTATGCTTTTGATGATAAAACTAGCACTTTCACGTGTACTGGTGGACCTAACTATGCGATCACTTTTTGTCCTTGATAGAATTAAATGTGCCTACAGTAGCAAGAAATAATGTAAAATAAAAATTAGTAGGCAAATACGTCATTGCTTATTTCTCGTTACCAAATGTGGTGATTGTTCAATATCGTTGCTTAATACCAAATGCGTGCTCACTATTATTTATTGTAGTATAAATTTATGTCATCATGTAAAATTACTCAAAAGGAGTTATACTAATAAAGAGCACAATGTCCCTTCCCTACTGAGTATCATGCCGATTAAATACTTATGATTAACATCAAGAGACCCCCTCAAGGTTTGGGGTCATTCTTAATATGGGTCCCCGGGTTTTATTTTCATCATTTTACACCCTATAGTTTTCAAATTCGCCCAATCTACACCGTCCGTCAAGTTCATCGTTAGATTTTCTATTAAATTGGTGACGTGGCAATTGTGGTACCCATTTTGATGCTGATGTGTGAAAAAATAATAATAACAAATTCTTTAAAAATATTATTAAATTAGATTTTTAAAAACAGGAAAAAAATATATATATTCCCCACTCTCTCTCTCTCTCTCTCTCCCCTCCTATCTCCCTCACTCTCTCTGCCCAGAACTTGAAAACCCCACCCACATCTCCGACCATCTCCCTACCCAACCACCATTGAAGCCATACAAACCCCACCCACATATCCGCCCATCCCCGACTCACTATCTCATTCTCTCCCCTTCTTAAGCACTCAGTGAAACATGATATAAACTCTATACACGCTAGCCACAACTAACTCATCTTCATACCGACATATGCAAGCTCTTAGAAGAGAGCAAAAAAATGATAAGCTCTGACTCCCAATGCTCTTAGTACCTTTTCAACATCATACCCACACTGACCTGCAAAAACAAACTTTCAGGTCATGCAACAGCATACAACATATCATATTCCCGCAGCCGCCAAAACCCTCTTCTGCATACCCCTAAAACCCTTCTCGCTCACCAAATTCTGAATACAGCCTGACTCGAACCCTTTCGACGAATCCAAACTCAAGCTCGAGCCCCAACTCAAACCCGCATCCGATCTAGAAATGCCACTTGTTGTGGAACTCCTGAATGGCTCTTCGGAGCTTTCAGCCACAGCTCGCTCCAAAATCTCTGCGGCTCTGTTCCGGTCATCGTTGGCTTCGCGATACGCAGAAACGGCGTCGTCGAGTGAAACCAAGGAGAAGACCTCTGTAAGCGCTCGGATCACCTTCTGGCCTTCGTCTTCTTTGGCGACTGGCTTCGGATCTACCGAGCTCTTCTTCTTCCTTCTCCTCTTCATGTGCTTCATCACTACATATATAGCTAGGGTTTGACGTAACCAAGAGAATCGGAAATGATAATTATAATGATGAATAAAACCCTAGCGTGAGAATAGAATACGATCAGGGATAATTTTGTTTCTGAGAGGATTAGGGTTTCTGAGATAGCTCGGTGCACCGGGGGAGGATCAGATCAGAAACCTTAAATTGGAGGGGCAGAGAGGGGCCACAGATGGAGAATTAGAGAAGGGAGCTTGGCTAATTTGGGGATTTATGAAAATAACAAGAGGAGAAGGGGAGAGAATGAGATAGTGAGTCGGGGTGGGGCGGAAATGTGGGTGGGGTTTGTATGGCTTCAATGGTGGTTGGGTGGGGAGGTGGTCGGAGATGGGTCGGAGATGTGGGTAGGGTTTTCAAGTTCTGGGCAGAGAGAGGGAGGGAGATGGGAGGAGAGAGAGAGAGAGAGAGAGAGAGAATGGGGAATTTATTTTCCTTTATGTTTTTAAAAATCTAATTTAATAATATTTTTAAAGAATTTTTTATTATTTTTGTTTACACATCAGCATCAAAGTGGGTACCACAATTGCCATGTCACCAATTTAACAGAAAATCTAACGATCAACTTAACGGACAGTGTAAATTGGCCGAATTTGAAAACTATGGGGTGTAAAATGATGAAATTAAAACCCAGTGACCCATATTAAGAATGACCCCAAATCTTGAGGGGGTCTCTTGATGTTAATCCAAATACTTAAAAATCACGGTTTTTTATTTCTTTTGTATAAGCGATAGTCTATGTTACTTTGAATTAATCTAATTGAATGGGAAATGGGATTCAAACTTGGATGTAAGAGGACGGACTCAGTACTGCCTTGACCAACTGATCTAACCTATATATGCAGTACAAAATCACGTTGTTACTAAATTAAACACATACCATCTTCAAGAAAATTTTTCTCTTTATACCACTAGAAAGATTTGACTGTCAATCTTACTCTTAACTTTGTACTCAAGAAAAAATATATGGGCTAGTGAGAATCAAACCCTTTCATATATGGGCTAGTGAGAAACAGAAGATGGGCTTACTTTGATCTTCATCATTCAAAGCCCAGAATGTAACCATTGTGGCCCAACCCAAAATTCCTAAAAACAGAGATAAATACTTCCTCATACCCTTATCCCTCGACACCCTAAACCCTCATCTGATTTCCTCACTCTCACTCTCCCTCAGTCCCATTCCCCTAAAAATGGTTCAAACCCTAGTCCGAGCCATTGCCATGGCCGCCGCCGCAACCACCACCACCGCCTCTCGCCACTCCACAATCTCTCTCCTCTTACCCAAACGTCTCTTCTCCACATCTAAGCTCACCCAACTTCCCTCCGTCCCATCTCTTATACTCGGCCGTCGCTCTCTCGCCCCGCTCTCGCATGCCGTCCGATTACCCACCGCCACCACCCGGTACACTCCGATCCGCTGCCGGGTGAACCGCTCCGGCGGTTCTTACTCGCCCCTTAACTCCGGTTCAAACTTCAGTGACCGTCCACCCACTGAAATGGCCCCGCTTTTCCCGGGATGCGACTACGAGCACTGGCTCATAGTCATGGACAAGCCCGGAGGTGAGGGTGCTACAAAGCAGCAGATGATCGATTGCTATGTTCAGACCCTGGCTAAAATCCTTGGGAGGTAATGATTCTTTGATTTCGAGTTTGATTAGTAGGAAAATGATGGAAACGTAATCGGGAAAAAGAAGATTTTTTTATATATCTGAAATGTTTTTGTAGTGTATTTGTTGTTGGAATTTCTTAGTTTTTTATTTAAAAAATTATTTGTTCGTAGCTATAATTAAATGTGTTTGTAATTGTAATTGAATAAGCGAATTTTAATTAATTTATTTTATTTCTTTGCATCGTGGGTGTTTGTATGCGTTAAACTTTTGTTGTTTTGTTACTTGTTGTGATGTGACAGCGAGGAAGAAGCGAAGAAGAAAATTTACAATGTGTCCTGCGAGAGGTATTTTGGTTTTGGTTGTGAGATTGACGAGGAGACCTCGAATAAGCTTGAAGGTCAGTGTTTTTAAATTGCATTGATGTTTTAGCTACCTGTTTCTGAGTGATTATACAAACTATTTATATGTGTTTATGTGATCATGAGTGTACATCTCTTTGTTTTAATTCTTTTCAGGCCTGCCTGGTGTTCTTTTTGTGCTTCCAGATTCATATGTTGATCCCGAATATAAAGACTATGGGGGTAAGTTTTTTGAGGATTTAATGGTTAACCACTTATGCGTCTTCAGATATCATGTTCTCTTATTTAAAACCTCTTGCACTTACAATTGAATAAAGAAGTTTCTTGAAGTAATTTGATTTCCGTATTGAGGTTTTAGTAATTTGAGTTTTTTTACACCTTTGTTCATCCATCTATTTGATAAAATGGCATACTTATTATGCTTTAGAAGATTTTATTCATTGTTTATCTGTCTCAGTGTGATACTTAACATCACAGTGAGAATGGGTTAACCATAGTGCGAAGGGATTGATTCTGGTTCTCTCAAAGTTATTTTTATCATTCTCAGTCCATCTTGGAGAAATTAAATAGGCCTTTGAGTTATTATTTAGCTTTGAATGCTAATGGACTTACATCAAATGTCTCTCTTAACTGTTGTGTGCTTTGTATACCTCATGGAGATGCAGATCTGGGGAGACGAAACATATTTTAGGAATTTTTACTCTTGTCTACAGTTTGTTTGGTTTAACATACATTAGAAGACATCCATACCAACAGTTTGTTCGTTTAACTTACATATTTCATTCTTCCCAGTCCATCTTGGCAAAGCTAATAGCCTTCAGTTGGCAATGTCTAGCTTTGAATGCTAATGGACTCATAGTAACTCCCTCCATCCTGTTCTGTTGCTTCTTTTATGTTGTGGAGTTTCGGAATCATTGGAGTTGATACATTTGGTGACCCTTATCATTAGAAAGATATTTTTGCTGACAGTTGACAGTTTTCTGGATTTAACAAGAAGTTTTCTTTCTTTTAACTCCCAGTCCATCTTGGCAATGCTAATAGCCTTTGGCGATGTCTAGCTTTGAATGCTAATGGACTCATAATAATTCCCTCCATCCTGTTCTGTTGCTTCTTGTATGTTATGGAGCTTTGGAATCATTGGAGTTGATACATTTGGTGACCTTTATCATTAGAAAGACATCTTTGCTGACAGTTGACAGTTTGCTGGATTTAACAATAATTTTTCTTTCTTTTAAATCCCAGTCCATCTTGGCAATGCTAGTAGCCTTTGGTGATGTCTAGCTTTGAATGCTAATGGACTCATAATAATTCCCTCCAACCTGTTCTGTTGCTTCTTGGGTGTTGTGGAGTTTCAGAATCATTGGAGTGGATACATATGGTGATTTTGATAGTATGATCATCTCTGACTTGTAAATCTTGTTCAATTTGGTGCCAATATACTCTTAATGATTCACCAACAAGCATTATTGTCATGAGTATATATTATTGTTTGATTTGGTGTCATATGCATTGTTGCATTGTTTCTCTTTTACTGCTAAACAGTGTGACTTCATTCCATGTTCACCTTTATTTTAAAACTATGTCTATTCTTAAATTTATTATTAGTCTTAATTATCTTTGAATTTTCTAAAGGCTTCTTGTTCTTGTAACTAAATATTGTTAACTTTATTTAATGCAGCTGAGTTGTTTGTGAATGGAGAAATTGTTCAAAGGTCGCCTGAAAGGCAGAGGAGGGTGGAGCCACAGCCCTCGAGAGCTCAGGACAGACCAAGATACAATGACAGAACCCGATACGTGCGCCGAAGGGAAAATGTGCGGTAAAATAAATGCAAGGCCAGCTATGTACATATATCTATGGTGAAGAAAAAGGTTGTTTGCTTTGGTAGTTGAACTTGTGAGTTGTAACTACGAAATTGGATGATCATTATTTGCTGTTCTCAAACCCTTCAGTTGTTATGGACCTTCATGGCTTTGAGCAATGCCAAAACTTGAACAAGTTTAGCAGTTTTATGTATGCAATTTGACACTATATATTAGTGTTCTAGAGACCCTTTGGCCCCGTATAAATTATTATTGTGCTCCCATGCCCAGTTTTTCAGTTGTCTTTGTAATCGATATTTCTTATTCACAGAAGCATTTGCAAAGTAGAATGAATTTGAAATTCTTGGGATTGGGGATAAGCATTTTCTTTTTACAAAATCATCTGTTATTCATATTTTGTTTCTGCCGAGCATGGAACTCAATTATTTGTTGCAAAAAAGGGTTTGTATTGTTTTGTTTGAAATACGCTTAAAAAGGGATTTTAAATATACTCGGTCTATAAGCAGTGTCTTATGAAGAAAACATTGCATAGACATAAGAAATTTCAATTATATCTCTATTTATCTATATTTGATAAGCATTTCATACTTTAAAACCTCCCAATTTTCTCTCTAATCGCTAAGCTCTTACAAAGCAACAACGCATTTTGTATTCCTTTCGCATTCTCTCTCGCTTGAAAGAAAATCGAGTTAATTTTAATGTATCTCCTCCATGTTTGAAAATGTCACAAATTCAAATCCTCCCCGTTGAGTTGATTAAAAAAAATCAATCCATTCCTACAATCTTTAGCTTTTAACTCTTGAGGTTTCATCATCAAGGTAACTCAATTTGATTCATTTTAGGTAAATTGTTGCCTAAGAAAACAAGAAACAAATGAGCAATAATACAAATAGAGTTTAACTATATCAAGGGTAAGAGTTCAACTATCCAACATTTAAAAAAATAAAAAGGATTTGGGCTCCAAAGAGTAATTATACAAATAGACTTTGTTCCCAAAATAATAAAATCTCAGTATTTTAGATGTCAAGTTTTTTTGAGTATAAACGATAGTCTAAACTAAAGAGGAGCGGGATTTCTCTCACACATACACAACTAAAATGTCATGGGGTTCAAACCTGAAACCTCTTGTCTGCAAGTTAAGGCCATTAGACTAGACCCCATTGGCTTTAGATGTCAAGTTAAATCCTATTATCTTGTCTATTAATTAACTATTTACTTTTAGACTCATTTATTTATTTCTAATGGATAAGATATATCGTGAATTATGATACTTGATGATTTGGTGACCAATATTTATGAAATCCTTTGATGATTTTAGATTATTCCTATTAATAATAAACAAAATAACAAGTGTTAAAATCCCGGAAATTCTTCCAACAAAAAAAAAAATCAGGAAAATTTCCAACAAAAAATAAATATCCAGGAAATGTCAAGTGGCCGAAGGGCAAGCCAAACTCGCAGGCTCGCAGCTTTCTTTGTGTCTGAGGATAACTGCCTGCCTCTCTGCTTTTCTTTAGGTTTTCCCCATTTTCTCAATTTGTTTGGCCACTTCTGCTTCTTGCCGCTAAGCCCTTCATAAACGCACGCCTCTCTCGGCCTACTGAACTCGCTGCCAGATCTTCGTCCCAAAGGTACAATCTTTACTTGCACCATCTTCTCCTTTTCTACAAAGAGAAACGTTTCTTATATAAAAAACTTGTTTTCTCTTGCCTTTTCTCTTTATTTAGTAATGGAGGTTGCTAATAGAATGTTCGTCTGTAATTTGAACTTGTGTTTAATTGGTTTCTTATGCCTACTCTACTCCGGTTTTTTTTTTGGTCAACTCCTACTCTACTCCGTTTAGTTTCACGGAAAACAGAGGAAAAGGAAGGAGAAGTAAAAATGGAAATCTTTTTTCTGGGAAAACAGAGGCAATGCAAAACGTATTGGCTGAGTTAATTGTTTCTTGGTTAGTGAGTGGAGTGTGGAGATTTTAGCTTTCTTCAGTTACATTTTCATTTTGAAATGTGATATGTTTTCTTTCGCTTAGTGCTAAATGATAAATTAGATAGCATTATGCTTGTACCCATCTTATCTAAGATACAATATACGCGGATTTTTTTTGTTCTTTTCTCTTTTCATATCCTAAAGTTGTATTCAGTTTAACGAGAGCTCTGAATTTAGGTAGGTTTTGTGTCGTAATGCAGGAAACGACTCATAATATGTATTGCAAATGTGACATGTGTGTATGAGAAAATTCCTCTATTTTAGATTGTTTTTGTTTATGAGGTGATTGGATGACACATCTTGATTTAATTCCTACATGATAAATAGGTTTCTTGAGATAGGTGGATGTAATGGGCAATGAATTGCTAGAATGCACCTAATTCTATCATATATGTTAACAAGGCGACTGAATTTACTTAGGGAAAGAGTAATTTTGTATTTTAAATTGTTTCAGATGTCTCATTGTAAGTTTCAATAGGCCTCACATGTTTTCTTCAAATGTTTCTAAAGATGTAAATATTAGCCTATAGAAGAATTTTCCAAAGTAAAGATAAGAATACAAATGTTTAGGGTTAGTTGGATTGTTTTAGGGCCCAAATTCCATCTGAACTCAGCACTTCTGCTGGGGGTGGCTTGATGTCATCCTAAGCTTCCAAAACAATATCCCATCTGATCCAAGATTTGGCGGGCTTGGATTGGAACAGGAAGTGAGAGGCCTCAATGGAGCCTCAAGTGCTTGGCAGTGATGGCATTGATAATGACTCACGGTGGTAGAAAAGATTGCGAAGAACACATCATGGCGTGGGAAAATATTTTCTGAGGTGAGAGAGTGGTGCAAATCTAAACTTGAGCTGTCAAAATTAGTGATGAGAAGATTGAGAATAGAGAGGGTGTGGTTGATTGAGGAGTTGTAGGTTTTAGAGAGCTGAATGAAGGGTTAGGGTTTTGAGGTTCACTAAGGATCCTGTGGGTGCATTCCCACTGTAGTGAAAAGAAGCCTCTAGTGTTATAATATAGAATATATGTTTGGTGAGGTTTTTCTTTTCATAAGTTTTATGTAAAATGTATATCCATCCAGATTTGATTGGGTTTCCAGCACACAAACCTGACAACCAAACCAAAATAATCAGGATCCTGATAATTTTATCTACTGCTGAGCAAAAATAAAGGGAAACCAAGCAAATTTGGCCATATCTGGTTGGGCAGGTTGGTTTTCTCAGACAGATGGACAGACCTAGATTAGATTACTCTAAGTTTTTCGTATGTATAACAGAGTGCTTGTTGACTATCTTGCCATCTTTGTCTCCTTATACTGAATTCTAGGATGTAATGGAAACACTGAACGCTTTAAATTTATTACCCTGTTTTAAGGGTGACCATTTCTTTAGGTAGTAGTATTAAGTTAAAATGGCTCTTTCAGTTGTTATGGGGTACTAATTTAATTTTCATTACACAGTTGTGAACTGAATTTTTGTAAATGGATCAGAGATGTTGCAAAAATGTTGAAAGGAAGTTGTCTTATTGAACGTAAAAGAAGTGAAAGTGCTAGTATAATGCGATTTACAGTAACATACAGAAAGGCCCACAGGGTAGTTTCCAATTGGAGTTGTTGTCTTTGATTACATAGTAGTAGTGGGGTACACAATGGAGTGCAGATCGTGCTTGTTATCCTGCATTTAGCTTACCAATTTGTCACATGATACTGATACACAATTAGATAACACATAACCAGGGAAAAAAAAAAGCACATGTGCTTCACTAGTTTGCATGATGTTATAATTTCTTGACCTATTCCAGTCTTCTTTGTATTCTACAATTTGGTTACAACTATTTTACCATGCTGTTCTGCATTGTAGTCAGAGGGACTAAAATTTGTTGATCCACATGGGTGTTTGACTAATATCCATGCGTTTTTCTTTTTCTTGGTGCAGCAATATTCACTTTGACATATCCATCACAATACTGGTTAACTGTTCCCCATGCTCTATTAGAACCTCAGAATTGTTTCACTGAATTTATATTGGGCAAGATGAGCACATCTAGTCAGCTACAAGAAAAGAACAGAAAAAATAGTGGGATTTCCCTGCATCATGATGAAGAAAGTGCTGCTAGGACAAGGCCTTTCAGCTGTGAAGAGATTATGCTTAGGAGGAACAACAAAAAGTTATGTGATAATGCCATAGATCTAGGGAATATACCAAGGGAAGCTATTGTTGAAAATGTTTCAGATCGTTTTGAATCTGAAAGGGATTACGGGCACCATAAAGATTTACCCCCTTTTGTTGAAAAATCTGTCTCAGAGGAAGCTGTGAAGGCAAGTTCCGGAAAGAAAGAAACATATAATTCCAAGAGTGCTAAAACAGAAGTTGATTTTGCTAAAGGGAAAGATAAAGGACGCCATGAGTCAGAAAGCTTGAAGGATAAACTGAAGAAAGATACAAGAACTGAAGCGAAAGGAGGAAAAACTGAAAAACAAGTACACAGCAGAAAAAAAATTGACAAACGCTCAATTGATAACTTTCCAAATGAATCTGTGAAGAAGCATTCAAGGGATTCAAAAGGAAAGGAGAGACATGGGGACCTAAGTAGAGGAAACTCTGAACGAGAAAGCAAGAGAAAATACCAGAATGGAAATGAGGACAAAATTAGAGACAGAAATGCTCCAAAGAAACACGATCCAGGGAAACATCATCTTGTAGAAGTTTCAGAGAGAAAGGAGAGGAAAGAACCATCAAAATCACGTTTGGAAAAATCAAGGCTAAAAAGGGGACGGTCAAGAAGTAGAGACCGTGAGGATAGGCATGGATTTAGATCTGTCTCGCCAAGGGCACAAAAGTATACATCTCATAATTTAGGGATGCGTAGTGAGATACATGTGCTCAAAGATAGATCTGAAAGACAGCACTCCGATATTGACAGGAGCAGAGTATCTAGTAATGGCTCAAGTAGCCACTATTGGCGACATGGTGTGCCTGTGAATAGGCTTGGTGGCTATTCACCGAGGAAGAGAAGAACTGAGTCTGCTATTAAGACTCCATCCCCACCTGATCGTTCTCCCGAAAAGAAAAGAGCCAGGTGGGATCATCCCCCTACAGCGACTGACAAGGTATTATCTGGTTCAGTTGCTTCTCTTTTTAATTCATCAAACAATAATATGTCCTCAAATGTACATGAGATGGCCATAGCTGTTGCTGTTGCTTCGGCTACTAGGAAATCTATTTCTGGGGCTTCTCCTAATTCTTTATTGTCTAAGAAGAATGCTTCCATTGACTCTGTCCAACTAACACAAGCTACCCGGCCTATGAGGAGGCTTTGTGTAGAAAATGTTCCATCTTCAACCTCTGAGAACACTTTAGTGGAATCTCTTAATAATTTTTTGTTGTCTTCGGGTGTCAACCATATCCAAGGAACACGACCATGCATTAGTTGTTCGGTAAGCGTAATAATTTTGAGCATGTAATGTTTATCCTTGTGATACATGCAAGTATGACTTAGGGATGAGGCGTGCTTTAACTATTTTAACTGCAGATTAACAAAGAAAAGGGTCAAGCTGTTGTGGAGTTTCTTACGCCTGAAGATGCTTTGGCTGCTCTATCATTTGACGGCAGTGACTTCTCTGGTTCCATTCTTAAAATAAGGCGCCCTAAAGACTTTGTTGAAGTGGCTGTAAGAATGATAATTCTCACCTTTTATTTCTCATCTCACCTTTTCTTTTCTTATCTCATTGTTGCTTTATACCTTTTTCTGTTGCTTGTTGGTTGTTTGATCTTTTCCTTTTGATATATGATCTACGAAGTTATGTTGCTTGAAGTTGATATTCTTCTTTTAGCTGGTCAACGTATTTTTCTCTGTTTATCTGTTGATAATGCATTCACCTACTGTGGAATCCTTGTCTTAACTTACTGATTTGTTGTAATTTTTTAATTATTTATTACATGTCTTAGGGGAGACTATTAATCTACACTATGATTTGGTCTAATTGTCTTCTTACTTATCAAATTTGTTCAATCAAAGTCCAAGTCCAACTGAATCATGGTCCAACTGTTATCCATCTGCTGCCACACAACAGAGCAGAAGCCATTTCAATTCTCGCTTACCTTGATTGAAAAAGGTGTTGCCCAGGTTGCCCAAAAATTCAGCAAAAACAAACTTTTTTCTATAGTAAAATTTGGACCTCGAGCCCTAACTGACTAGGTGGTTGTAAAGAGGGGTCAAAGGTCTATAGAAAGCCTACAGCCCCATAAGTCAGGATGCCGTGTCAAATCCTAAGTTCCTGACCAATGGTTTCTTCCCAGGAGAATTCTAAAAAAAAAAAAAACAGAACAGATGGCATGATTGTAGAGTGACATGCCTTTTGCCATTTATTGGACAATAGTTAGGCAGGATAAATGGCTAGTTTGTAAGTGATAAAACTCCCTCTTTCCATGCTTTCCGAGTTAAAGAAACATATTTTTCCAAATAGCTTTCCAATTTTATGTTCTTTACTTTGTTTACCATATGAGTTTTCTGTCGGCAATTCCATATTCTATGAATAGGCACTGATTCAGGATATTAATATGTGGTCACAAAAGCATGTATGGTACAAATTTTGAATATGTTGACTACTTCATAAGCACACAATTTAGCATGTGTAAAATTATTTTTTATATGAATGGCTTTGCAAATTACACGATCTAACAAAGTGATAATTTTAATTCTTCTTTGACCTTTTATTGTTTTAATACAAACTTCCCTCACCCTTCTTTTCTTTATGAAATGGGAGGGATTGAGGTATTGCAATGCAAGAAAATGTGTAGCCTTGAATATCTGATTGAATCTATCATGTTCTTGAGTCCCTGGTCTTTGCACGTTCGCTAGATGATGGAGTTGGCCATAGACACCCATTCTTAGGACTAGGATTGGTTCTTAGCTGTAAAATTTTATATGGTCGTATTATTATTGTACTTTGGAAGCAGAATCAAGGTTGTTTGTTAAATTTAACATTGGGATATGTTACTGTAGGTTCACAAGCTTTCTATTGTACATGGAATAATGTCTTTGTCCTGTTACACAAGAATTTTTCTGACTGTCATGTTGGAATCTCTTAAATAGGATGTTTATGTTGGGTGTGTCGTAATTCACATTCAGGGCGATGATGAAGCTGACTCCTAAATAAGAAGATTTCCAGGTGTAGTGACAAGTTTGATGTGCTTGCAGCTTCTTCTCTCGATTTGGATTTGGGTTACTGATCTAGGCTTAAACAGTAATATTTAATGACATGGAGTATAGTGTTTGCTTTATTTGGCGTTTAACATATAATTTGCATGTAATATAGTCTTTTAGGACACTGGCTCTCATTCCCAGTGGTATTATCTGCAACTTGAATTTTCTGATGGATGTGCTTGACTTAAGTCAATTTAAGCATCAGTCATGATATGCTTTCATCCTTTTTGCAATTAGCATGTTGTAATATGCTTCTTGTGTAGTGTTTTTGAAATCTTAACATCACAAGACAGGATAGAAACAAGGAACACACTTAGACGAGTATGAGCTTCATGCTGTCACCATGGGTAGTTCTTTGCTTGATTGTTTAGTTAGTACAAATACCATTATGGGCTCAAGATGAATAGATGGAAGCCATCCGGTTTTCTAGCCAATCCAGAGACGCCCTATTTTAACGTTAGGAAGTGGGACGGAGAGAGATACTAAACAGTTAGAGATAAAATCAAGTTCTGTGGTGATTTTCATGTGTCTCTCTTTCATGTTGAATATAAGCATTCGTCCTTTCCATGTTGCCTTTTGTCTTTGTTGCATGCCTGCATGAGAAAAAACTCATCTGGCCAAAAGTTTTCTCCCGTAGTCTTTATGTGCTTTCCCTCTAGCCTATGTCTCTTTAGCTTCTCATGGATGCGCTGTATTCTATTGTTAGAGATATAACACTTGTAGCAATTTCCTTGAACGTCAGGAGGTTCTATAGTTTAATTATTTTATTTTAATTTTACATTAACAATTTATTGAAATTAGCTTCCCTTTAAATTATTAACCTTGATGACATATGCTATCTGTTAATGCTTATTGGTATTCTTGGAAAAAATTTGATGATCTCATTGAATTGACTCTATGTCAAGAAAGCTGAGAGCCTAGGATAGAGGACAGATTTCAGAATCCGACCTGGCACGGTTTCCTTCTTTCAATTTTAATTACATGGTTTCCTACTCAGAATGAATTAATGGGTCAAAGATAAAAGACCGTATTGAGTTTTGCTTCTCATACCACTTTTTCAAATTTGAATCTGAATTGAGATTGTCATAAATGATATTTTCTGGATTTGGGTGGATCCAATCCAATTAAAATCCAAATATGATAAACAAATTAATTACAATGAAACTTATTTATGTATGTTTTCTTTTGGATAATAAGTGCTTTAAATAAAAAGACATAAGTGAAAAAGCTTTGATTTCATTAATTCTTACTTTTAGTACAATCTGGTTATACTCTTCTATGCTGCAAGCTTAACTTTATTTGGTTAAACTACTTTCTATTACTGCTTTGCAAATTCTGAGGTATGTTGTGCTTACTATCCATGGAGCAGGTTTTCAGACAGTTGCTATTTTCATGCAGACTGGTGACCCAGATAAATCAATGGCTGTGGTTGAGACAATTAGTGATGTTGTGAAGGATTCACCCAACAAGGTAAGCTGGTGATGCAACATATAGTAATTGTACATGTAATTGCTGCTACGATTAGTTTAAGACCACTGTGCATGCACTTCCTCACGAATTCAGGGTAGTGGAGAACTAGTTTTGTTAGTTGGTCGCATCATCATCCAGGCTTTGTTCTTATAGATTTTTCCTTGCTTTATTCTCTACATCATTGATAGACTGGGATTCTAACTAAGCTTAAGTAGTTGATCTGTTGCATGCTACTTTTAAGAGATCAGGGTCTTTTGATGTTATTTATCCTCTACTTGATTTTCTCAATAGTGAAAGCTTTTTGCTTCCTGTAATGTTTTAGTAAACTTAAAATTTTAAGGTAGGGAAAAGGACTCAATCCTTGTGCATCACCTTTATGGTTCATGATCCTTATATTCTTGTTGATTAATCTTGCAATATTGCAAAGTTGCTTTTTATCCTTAAAGATGATTGCAAAATTGCAAATTTCTGTTTTCTAATACAGGGCGATTATCATAAGTTTATAACTGCATGGGGAGCCTGATAGATACTTGTAAATACCTAACGGATGACAGAAATCTTTTTTCTGTCCCTCCTTTTGGTAACCATCTTATGCCATGCCTTGGAAATAATCTACGGCACTTACCCCCCCCCCCCC